CGGTAAAAGACAACATTTAGCACGTTATGCAAAAACATGTAATAAAGATCAGATAATAAATCCAAATATAACAATTATTCTAAGCTCGAATTCTTGAACCCTGAACCAGTGGTTCTGGGTTCTCCCCAGCAGAGTCGCCAGAGCTGTCACACCTCCTTTTTGCGCGCCCGCCCCGAAGGATAGAATGCGCGATGGAGTTTTTCCAATTTAAGTGACAATATTCGAAATGAGATTATTTATTTAATTCAGAGTCGCCACTTGGGAAAGGTTTGGNAGTGTATTCCCCTCCCTTTATTATCAATGTCTATCTGTGTGTGTGTCTATGTGTGTATATGTTTGTATTTTTGCTCTCTCTTCCCAGATCTATCTGATGTTCGTCCTCTTATGTCTGTCTCCTTTCTTTTATAAACCTAAACCTCAGCCCTTTAACAGCCTGTTAGACCAAAAACACCCCTCCCATATGCCCTCTTCTTTTTAGTTTCCACTTAGCTATTTAAGTATTAAACCCATGACATTCCCTTGGCAGACTTAAACTTTTTTAGTAATGTTTATTACTTCTGAAACTTAAAGCAGAATATGGGCAGCAGGATGTAGTCTGACAGCACATGCTGTCCAACTATTTAATTCAAAAGCACTTAGGCAGGGCACAGGCTGTGCACAAAATGCACATGTTGTGCATAAGTGCACATGCCCTCCAATTTCAAAACTGTGACTAAACAGAACATTGATCTTTGCATTTCTGATTCAAATTGCCAATTATAAATAAGCAAACTCAGTTCCTAATTGATTCAAACAAATGCTTAGCAGAAGGAAGTGTTGAATATTCTCATTAATAAGATTCAAGTGTTGAAATAAATACTACACACTTTGATTCAATACAAAGCAAGAAAATGAAGAAATGAGTACAAATGAGTAAGAAATTCTTAACCAAAATCTTCAAATCTTCAAAACCCAAGTGTGTGTGCAAATCTAGCTCCCAAAACTTGTTCTCTTTAGTCTTAGAGACTGAAAATAAGCCAAAGATCTTTTTACAAATGAGCAAAATCGTGTATTAAAAGGTTTGGGGGCAAAAAATGTGAAGTGACATAATTGCCCAGAACTGAAGCGTGATATTTGCATTTGCCAACAAAAGCTCGCAATTGCGAACATAGACTATCCTGTTGACTTTCACATTTGCAATCAAGACTTCGCATTTTCGAAGGTTGACTAGCTGGTTTGAATTCGCATTTGCGAAGGTTGACTACCTGGTTTGAATTCGCATTTGCGAAGTCTTCTACGCATTTGCGAACACAGCTTGACTGGGCTTACTTTGCAATTGCAATGTATTTCTCGCAATTGCCATGTCTTCTTTCTTCGCATTTCCCACAATTGTGTCGCAATTGCGACACCTGAGTCCATTGTCCAAATTTTCTTCTTTTCAATGTCTTTTTGACTCGTTTTCACTTGGTTTCTTCATGGTCACTTCTAAATCACAGAGAACCTATAAAATAGAAGTAAATGACATTTAACGCATGATTTTATTACTCAAACATAGCAAAAATATAGGTTTAAAGACAAGATAAGTTGGTAAAATACCAACTTATCAGTTTCTAAAGCATTAAATCGTTTGTCGATACAACATCAGAGTTGAGAGATATTCGCGTTTCTATGAGACTGCACAGACACCCCCTATGGGACCCACTTGGACGGTGGCCGACCTTCACCTATTTTTATCTCATTTTCGGGATGATCTTTGATTATTTTTCGACCTCCTTCCATCCTCGCAGTCTCAAAACCCTCCTAGTCAGTTCCCCTAAGTCTCCTAACAAATCCCAAAAAAAATACACCATAACCCAACATCAAAGTTAGCCAAAGGTGGATAATAACCCCTCAATGGTGTTGTGATGTGAGTAAGGATGATGGTGAGCTAAGTTAAACTTGGGGTTCGAATTATATCTATTGCCTAAAGTATGTTTAACATCCTTTTGGTTGTGTTTAGGTTAATTACATGTTGGTTATGATGTTGGAGTGAAAGATTACAAGATAGCCTTGAAAGGAGAGAGAGATGGGATATGTTGTTATCTTTTGTTGGATTGTTTTAAGGATATATATATATATATATATATATATATATATATATATATATATATATATATATATATATATATATTATGATTGAAAATTATGGAAAATAATTTGATTATGATATGGTTTCTATTGTTATGCATGTCTATATGTTTATCAAGTGAATTGTTGAAAGAAACATATGAAACTGGAGATTGGAAATGAAGATTAATGTGTTTGTGCGTGGGTACTGTTTTTCAAGGGTTTTGAGCTAGATTTTGATAGTATTTATAGGAATATCTTGGATACAATACTAATGATATTGTTACTGTTGTTTTGGTGCTGGTTTGAGTTGGATGGAAGTGGAATTGTATAGGGGAAATGTTGTCCAATTTTCTATAGGTGACCTATAGCTTAGAAGCATGTTTGTAAGTCCTTCTATGGCATTAACTACAAGTTTTATTATCTTAATATGGATTGAAGTCTTCAAGCAGGTATACGTTGAGTCGTTAAGTAAACAACAAAGGTATGTAACTCTACTTTTCTTTCTTGGTATGACTTGATGTAAGTATTCCCTTTGAAATAATCTTCCAATCGCAAAATTGAATAGTCCTAAGTCTTCACTAACAAAAGATTGATCATATTCCTGTGTATTTCCATCCGATGGTTTGAGCACGTGATTTTTTCCCTATGTGGAATACTCCTACAAATTAAAGAAATAGATTTTTTTTAATTGTTTGCAATTTTATAGTATTTTTTGTTAATTGTTTGCATTTCTGCGCATGTTTACTTTTAATAAAATCATGAAAAAATACCAAAAAATACCATGCATTGCATTTAGATTTTGTGTTCACATTTTAGGATTAATTAATTAATTAATTGCTTTATTAAAAATGAAAATCACAAAAATGACTCATTTTTACATTCTTAGCTTTTAATTTTGGATTATTAATTTTTCTCTTTTAATTTAGGATCAACTAATTTTTATAAATATTACAGTTAGATAATTAGCTTAATTTTATAATTTAAATTAATTTAGGTTTTTAATTAATCAAAGAAAGAAAAGAAAACAAAAAAGAAAAAGGAAATGGAAAAAGGCTGGTTTTAAATTTAATTAGTCCAAAATTGATGCTAAGCCCAATCTCCCAATCCCTCACCCGGTCCGACCCAGACCAATCCCATCAAACCAGCCCGCCCCCACTAAAGCCAAACGACCTTGTTTCTGCCTCATTGAATCCCAGTCGTTGATCTCGTGTGATCCAAAGACTGAGAATTGGCTCTCACTTCATATATTAATGTCCGAAATAGACCTCCCCCCCATTCAAACCCCTTCATTCAGTCCCTTACCCTAACCCAGATAGCAACCCTAGCCGCCAGGGAACCCTTAACCTCCACCGGCCGGCGGCGCAAACCCAATGGACCTTAACTTCACATCCTATAATCACCACGCCCCCTTAAACTCAAATTCCCCAACAATCTCCCCAATTAATCCCTTGAACTTGCTGAATCCCAGATATAAAATTTAACCTAGTTCCTGCAGTTTGGGGGTTTTTGTTGATTTTTTGCTCGTTTGGCTTGAAGTTTGCCCAAATAGATTACTCTTGACCAGAGTAGTCGTTTGGGTCAGCTTTAAGCCCTTTCGAAGCATCCTGAGCCTGGCCAGTCATCTGCTTTTACTTTTTCTTGGTCGTCTTGCTGATTAAATCGGTACTTTTTGGCCTTTAGTCATTTGTTTATTTCTGTTTTTGTTTTGTTTTTGTCTTCTCTGTTCTTTTCTTTCTTTCTTTCTCTTCTTCTCAATTAGTTTTTGTCTGCATGATAGGTTAGAACACTTAACAAGCAGGTTGTATTCAATTTTTAAACTAGTTAATTATTAAATCATTGTTAGCATGCTTAGGTTCGTGGTCAATTACAACTTGCCTTGATCAATTTGACTTTTCGTTTGGTTAATGAACCAGCTAGTCTTAAGGTCTTAATATTAGCTTAATTTCGTTAATTCGTTAGGTTTTAATGTTTAGGTCTCTTTTGGGCTTTTGGTTATTTCTAGTTTGGGCAGAAGAAGCCCATTTGTTTGGGTTTGAGTCTTGGGTCAGTTTAGGGAGTAAATACAGGGGTGTCAGGGGGTATTTTGGATATCTTAGGTCTAGAGAATATTTTCTATTATGTGAGAAGCTTCTAGAAGATAAGAGGAGGCTTGCATGCTAAGAAATGAGGGGGAGCTCAGATATTTTTAAGGGGCTAGGGGGTGAAATAACTAAGTAAAAAAGGGGTAAAAAGGAGAATTAAGGAATGAGGAAAATCTGGTGATGCTGCCCTAAGGTCTTTCTATAAGAAGATCATTTTTTTCATTCTAGGGAGATTTTAGGACACCTAAAAAGAGAAACGGCTGAGATATTGATAAGCTGCAGAATCCTTTCTTCAAAAAGTTTAATTCTCATGATGAACACACACAATTCATAGAAAGAAAGACATCAATTTCTTCTTTTTTGGTTTTCATTCGAAGGGTGAAGTACTGTTCTTTAGATTTCTGGGTTAAGAAGCTGAAGCTTACTTTGAATCATTCTTGGTGCTTCTATTTTGGCTGCTGCATCTGCTCATTTTTCGGAAATTTACTTCTATTTTGGTTGATTTTGTTACAAACAGGTATGTATGCTGAACATTCTCTTAGCCATTGAATCATATACATGGAGCTTTGGATCATTTGCTGCCTTATTCTCAAATGTCATGTGAATACGTGGATTGAATTCCATATTTTGATTATTTGTTTTGTTTTGCTCTGTTTTCTATATCTCCTTTTAGCAAGCTAGATTTTAGCCTTAAATGTATGTATTAATTATCCCATTTTATGTATGATTAAATTTTGTAAGGATTTTGAAGCTTAGCTTGATTACATGACTGTTAAAAGATGATGTCCAAATATGAACTGCAACGTGATATTCTGGGAAGTTACATGAGCATATGAGTTTTATTTCTCAGCGATTTGATTTAAAGCTCATGTTTAAGTTGATGTCCTGTTAGTCATGAGGTCATGATTTGCTTATCTTACTTTAGCTATGATGGTGTTAAATTGTTAAGACTTAAGTAGTGTAATACCAAAATGATTAAGTGGATGCAAATCAAGTTTGAATAGGAATTCATTGGTTAATATAATAATTCAAGTTTATTTCTTGCTATGTGATTAATGTATGAGTGCTGCTGTATGAGAGGAGATGTTATAAAGTTAGTCAGATGTTTCACTTGTTTACTTTGCCATACTTCAATCTGAGTAAGACCTTTTCACTGACTCGTTGCCTTTTGGGGCTGTTTGTTGTAAAGTGGTTGTTTATTAATTAGCTAGTTAAAAGTAACATTTTGTTACCATTGGGCCTAAGGAACAGAACATTGCTTTATTAAAATAAATAAACTATGGGAATCAATGAAGGTTTCCTTTGCTGTGGGCAAAAAGGGAGCTATTCATTCCCAACCCAATTTGAATGGGGTAGCATGGTCCTAATCAGGCTTAGAAGTGCCTCCGTCTGTGGTTTCTTTCATTTTGGGCTGGATTTCGAGCCCAACGGCTTTCAATATTTGAGCCCCTTTAAATAACGTGACGAGCTTCCTATTTGGCACAATGGTTCAGAAGGTTTAAAAGCATGTACCAATTTCTAATACCTTAAGCTATAATCCACAGCCCGACATTAAACCTCGAATTAGTTTTAAGAATACATGAATCTCGTAGTTTGCTTTAGGTACGTAATTAAATCATCACAACTATGGGTACGGCTCCCGTGGTGTAGTTGTGATATCTAATTTCAAATTAGTTTTTAAATATGAATACCCGTAGTTCTTTTAATTGAATGTATTTCTTTGAAAGAAATTGAGGCGCGCCATTCACACAATTGAATCACCCAACCTATGGCCCTCATTTTAATTATCTTAGCTAATGTAGAAAAATGCCTTGAGTTCTCGTAGTTTGCTTTAGGCCCATTAATTAAGTAAAGTGTCATAACTACGGGTACGCTTCCCGTGACGTAGTTATGATACACAATTTTAAAAATTCGGGGGTATATTTATGTGACCCGGCCACAATTTAATTTTATTAATAAAATAAACATGTTATAGATCATGGGTACGGTTCCCGTGACATGTTTCGCAACATATAATCAAATAATTAGATGTATGATAATTGGATTATTATTAAAAACGGTTTAAAAGGGATAAAAATGCATAGGTTTCAAGAATATTTTAAAATCAGATAAATAGGCCAATAATAACAGTTGAGCGACCGTGCTAAAATCACAGAACCCGAAAATACCTAACACCTTCTCTCGGGTTAAAAAAATTCCTTACCCATATTTCTATGTTTCGCGGACTGTAAAACAGGGCCAAACTTCCTCGATTTGGGATTTTAACCGGTGACTTGGGACACCATAAATTATCCCAAGTGGCGACTTTGAATTTAATATAAATAATCTCATTTCGATTGTCACTTAAACTGGAAAAACTCTCATACACCCTTTCCGGTGGTAGAAAAAGGAGGTGTGACAGCTCTGACGACTCTGTTGGGGATAAGAACCCAAAACCTTTGGTTCAGGGTTCAAGAATTCGAGCTTAGAATAACTGTTATATTTGGCTTTTATTTATTATCTGATTTTTATTACATGCTTGGGCCTAATGTGCTAAATGCCGCTTTTTACCGCTTATATTATTGGAACTATATATAAATTGCTGTGAAACCCTTCTCTTCTCATCTTCGGAGAAGTGCACGCTGGCGTGACTTCTTTTCTTTTAGTGTCATACCCTAATTTAGAAAGAGGTTCGGACAAGTTACAAAGCCGGATGGCCTTTTGGTTCCTGGTACGTAGCCCCCCCGACTCGAGTTGTCCGCTTCGGTACACAAGTCTAGAACAACATACCCAGGTTTTGAACCTAGAATAACTCAGCCTCATACCGGATCCCTAGTAGGAACGCTTGTTTACATCATGTGCATTTGACTTTGTGGACTCAACACAGGGGTTGGATCCGTCTAGGACAGGCGTACTCGAAAATAAAGAGACCAACCTGATACATTTTTATGTGCTACGTGTGCATTTAATTTGTTTCGGATTGCATGTTGACCGACTCTAGATTAAGTGAGGAAAACCAAAAGAAAAACCAAGTGCGGGGTATGAGATAGAATTTCATCTGTTTTCCAAAATCCAGTATCCGAAATATCCCGAAACTCTGTTGAAAATTTTTGAAAAAAGAAGAAGGAAAAGAGAGGGGAAAAATCATTTCAAAGTGTTTGTATTTTTTCAGTTGCGTCAAAACTGGCCGAACTACGCGGGTTTGATTCTCACCGGATGTAGGATACGTAGACAACCCTCATCGGGTCCTGCCCCGCTTTTTGAAAATTTTGAAAATATATATATATGAAGTGTCGTCATTTTTGTCGTAAATAAAGTGGGTGATGTTGTTTTTGTCTAAATAGCCGAATGTCCCAACAGGACGTCAGAAGGCTGTTTTTGCAAGAATAGCCACTGACGGTGTCTTTGTCAATTTTTGGCCATTTAGCGACCACAACCCTAAAATCTTCCATTTCAAAGTGCTGAAGGGCCATATTCGCAAAAGTAGCCGTGATTTATTTGATTTTTGCAAAATAAACTCTTTTTATTAGTTTTCAAAATAAGATTCATTTTGTCTTTAAACTAGTCACCTTAATCTAAATGTACAGAATGAGCACGATTCAAAATTTACCAATGAAGGTCATGACCAAGATTCCGTTAGAACTACACATGTGGTGGGAAGATTTAGGTAAGCCAGGACGAGACACGGTCAACCAGTATTTGGGAGCGCTCACCGGATTACTAAAGATCAGACCTAAGGGAGATATAATAAAAGCACTGGTGACATTTTGGGATCCATCTCACAACGTTATGCATTTCTTGGACTTCGAACTCACACCTACTTTGGAGGAGATAGCGGGATTCGCTGGGGGTACCGAGGCTCTAAGACATAAATACCTGGTTGCTCCAAGGGCTGTCACCCCACACAAGTTTCTGGATTTGCTAAAAATAAGCAGGCAGATCCAGTATGTAGATTTGGAGAATGGGTTTTCCACTCTATACTTCATATACCGGCGGTACGGACATATAGAGGGATTTGAAACCAGAAAAGTAAAATTTGTAGTAAAGGGAACCAACCAAAATGGGAAGAGCATAAATGTTTCGCTTTCATGGTGGTATTCTTGGGACTTCTAGTGTTTCCCAGGAAGGACGGGAATATTGATCTACGGGTAGCCGGAGTTGTCAATACTTTGATTACCAATGCCAAGAGCACCTTTGCCTCTATGATAGTGTCTGAAATATTTCGAGCTCTCACCGCTTGCAAAGACGGAGTAGATTTTTTCGAAGGTTGCAATTTGTTGCTACAAATATGGATGATTGAACATCTATGTCATCGTCCTCGGTACATGAATTACGGGTCGACATGGAAAAGCTGCATAGAGGAGTTTGATACAAGGGTCGATGGGTTCAAGATGCCGGAAGGGGTCTTAGATTGGATATCTTGCCTCCACTCTATAACTGCTGATAAGATTGAGTGGACGTTGGGTTGGCTTCCTGTTAATGAGATTATATACATGCCTGCCGCCGGTCCTCACTTCCTCCTGATGGGTCTCAAAAGTATCTAGCCTTATGCCCCGTACCAGGTTTTGAGATAGTTGAGAAGATGCCAAATAATTCCCAAGGACGAAGACCTTAGCATTCATGCAGTCGAGATCCATTCTGATAGCCAATTTCATGAAGCAGTGATTCACCAGATCTGGAGTGAGTGCCAATACCTGATGGCAAACATCTGAGTGCGTGATTTATCCAAGGGAGAAGTCTCATTCGGTTACCTTGCTTGGTATAAAAGAAGTGTTTAGTTCGGAAGACCATCCAAAAGACCCCACCTCTAAGAATTTGTTGAAGCATCACAGGAACAATGGGATTGACTGGCCAAAGAAAATGAGTATAGGGCCACCATAAGCAAGTTGGAAAAGCAAGTCAGAGATCTTCAATTTGAGAATGGTTTGCAAGCCGCTGCAGATGAGGGTGAAAAGAAAAGGTTAGCCAAAGAAAATGACGCCCTCCGAGCCCAATTCCAGGAGCTGAGAACCCTGCTAGAAGTGTAAAGGATGAAAAAATTATAGATAAACTTAGGCGGAAAGTTGGTGACTATGATTTTGATTTGAAAAAGACCGAGGGCGAGCTAGCAAAGGACCGAGCAAAGTTGGTCAGGAATGCGGAGAAACGGGCACGTTTCATTCAACAGTTGAAGGAAAAAAACGACAAAGGAATCATGGGGTTGAAGAAAAAGATTAATGTTTTTGAGAGCGAAATGACCAAGCAAGCAAAGAACTTCAAAGCAGAAAGGGAACACTGCTATGCCTTAATGTCACAATTAGAAGAGGACATACAACAATTACAAGAGCAAAATCAAACAGCCACACAAGTTTTGGAGGCCAGATCTCAACAGATTGGACGTTTGCTACAGGAGAAGGGTGTCATCAGGGAGAGGGTTAGAAGGATTGTTGACTATATTGTGATGAAGTGAAACGAATGGGAGGACATGACTAGGTTCATGTTCTTCGCTGCAGTTATGATTTTTGTCCGTCAAATAATGGATGACTTATATCGCCTTCAAGAAGATATAGTGCGTAGGCCCGCGGCAAGACCGACTGATGTCCCGCGGGCCCCTAGAGCAGTAGTTGAGGCACTTATGTATTTCTGATATTATTTTTCGAGTCTGTATTTTCAGTTTTTTTTGGAGTTTGTTAGTCCACTTTTGAGTCTGTATTTTCAGTTTCTTTTGGAGATTGATAGTCCACTTTTGAGTCTGTATTACGGTTTCTTTGGAGTCTGTTAGTTTTTATGTTTAAGTGTGTATGGGAAGTCGTTGTAATAGAAGAAAAATCAGAATGTTTTATTTTATTTTATGAAAAATTTGAAAACCCAAAAAATGTGTCTTTCTTTTATTTCGCACTTATCTCTTGAACTACGTAATGATCTGATTCTTGCGACATCATAATACGTAGACAATTCACATAGGATTCGATCATAACCCTAAAATAAGGAAAAAATGAAGAAAGAGAGAGAAAAAAAGAGAGAGAATAAAAGAAAAGAAATTGAGTGGAAAGAAAAAATGGCGAAACAAGAAAACCAAAAGCGAGTGCAAAAATAAAAAAATGGAGCGACAAGAAGCAAGTGGGAAAATCAATAGTGACTAAAGACAAGGTTGGAGTGAAAAGAAAAGAAAAGAGAAAATAGAAAGTGCAAAGTGAAAAGAGTTAGTTAAAAGCCGGGATGAAACATGCAGCCGTTCAAATACATAGTAGAAGCTTTTAATTGTTCAGGTGCATTGCATCCCAAACGTGCGGTTGCCTATCTGTTAAATCTTAAACACTAACAAGTTTGTTGTTGTCATTGAGAACAGGAAGGTGGTTAGTTTGTGGCATTTGGGCGAGTCATCCATATACGCTAGGTCAAATAGCAAGACAGCCATGACTAGTAAGGAATTGGACATAGGCGTTGTTGATCTGTCAAGGGGGATTGTGGAATCGGAATTTGAGTTGAAAGAAGAGGCCCGAAGGTTGAAACACCAGATAATAGAGATGTACCAGGCTTGGATTAGTGGGCATCCTCTACTCTCATTCCCTACTAACTACATTGAAAAGCTTTCGTCCCACTACCATCACAATCCCAGATTCCCACTGCTGCTGATCTGTCCCCACAACACGCCCCAAGCTTTACCCCTTGCCACAACTACCCTGGCACCTTGTCCCAGCCCTTTCATGCTCTACCAGCCAATACAGCTTCATATCTCGCGTCATTAACTACTCCCGTTTTTGCAGCTCCCTCACATGCCACCATCCCTCTATCTTCTAGTGGAACCTTGTTCAAAGTTCTTGATGCCCAATACTATACTACAGAACCAACCTTCAAGACCTCAGATCCATACTGTTACACTCCTCATTTTGGGCCTCCCATTGAAATTGAAAAACCCGCTAAGATTGTGGAGCAAGATGAGGTATTTAGAAAACGTGTGCTGTTTGCAAAAAGGTCTTCGAACGGTGTCGGGGCAAGTCAGAAAAAGTCAAAGTTGGTGGTACCAGGGATCCTAAGCAAGCATGTTGTAGTTGTGAAATGGTCTCCCATTACCCCTGTTGTTATCAAACCAGTGACTCAGTTGCCAGCAGTTGAGACAAAGGATGTCCCCTAGAACTACAAACGAACAATAATGACAAACAAGGGAAAAGAAGTGGAGGAAGAATTTGTTGAGATCGGAGTACCGACTCATTTTGGGGGATGTTTTACCTCCGAAGAATTGAGGAAGGCCAAGCTCTCCAAGGATAGCCAAATGCCAATGAAGAAACCGGTTACCGAGGAAGAGGCCGAAGAGTTCTTGAAAAAGATGAAAGTGCAAGACTATCCCATTGTTGAACAATTAAGGAAAACTCCAGCTAATATTTCTCTGTTATCTTTGTTGATACATTCAGATGAACACCGCAGGGCCATAATGAAGATTCTGAACGAGGCACATGTTCCTGATAAGATCACAGTGAATCAAATTGGAAAATATTGCTAGCAGGATCTTCGAAGCAAATAGGACCACTTTTGCAGACGATGATCTTTCTATAGAGGGTACAGAACACAATCGAGCTTTTTATATCACGGTGAAATGCAAAAATTATTTTGTCAAAAGGGTGTTGGTTGATAATGGCTCCAATGCAAATATTTGCCCTCTGTCCGCTTTGTAAAAGTTGAAGATCGGCACTGAAAGAATCCACATGAACAATGTATGTGTTCGAGGCTTTGATGGGGAAGGAAAAGATTATGCTGGAGATATAATGCTTGAATTGGTGATAGGGCCAGTTGGTTTCAGTGTGAAATTTCAAGTGCTAGATGTGGTTTCCTCCTATAATTTGTTAATGGGTAGGCCTTGGATACATGCGGCTAAGGCAGTGCCATCTTCTCTACATCAATGGTAAAATTTGAGTGGGACAAACAAGAAATAGATGTGCATGGTGATGAGGATTTATCTCTTTATGAAGATTCATTTATTCCATTTGTTGAGGCTGGAGATGATAAAAGACCTTTAGTTTATCAAACTTTCGAAACCATGTCCGTCGAAAAAATTCCTGAAGGAAAATGCATTCCAAGGCCGAGGTTATCACCTTCGATTTTTATGGTAGCTAACGAGATGTTGAAGTATGGTTTTGTGCCGGGTAAGGGTCTGGGCGCATCTTTGCAAGGTATTGTGCAGCCAGTATCTTTACGTGAAAATCTGGGTACATTTGGTCTGGAGTTCAAGTCTACAGGGGATGATGTAAAGAAGGCTAAAAAGTTGAAAAAGAAACAATGGTCTCTCCCTAAGCCTATCCCATGCCTCTCCAGATCTTTCTTCAAGACATGGGTAGTAAAGCGTCCGGTGTCAGCAGTTCCAAAGCTTGTGGTTGACTTTAATGTAGAGTCGATCAAAATGTCCCAAAATCTATTTGATGAGGTCAATATGGTTGAAATTGGGGAAGGTTCTAGTGATGAATATGTGCATTTTGTTGGGCCGAATGTGAAGCTTAGCAATTGGGAAGCCTCTCCTCTCCCCACCCGGGAGGATGTTTGGTAGTTTGCTTTATTTTTTTGTTATTTGGATTATTCAAAGGGTTGTAACCCAGATTTCACTTTTGCTTCTTTTGATGGTCAAAACCTTTCTATTCTTTTATTTTCGGTGGAATCCAATTTTTCTTCTTTTATTGTTATTCCTAATATATGTTTTAATTTTTTTTTCCTTTATACAGTTCTTGTTATGCTGGTTCTAATGACATGACATGCATGTGGAGTTTTTAGCTAGATCTTGAAAGCCAATCTAATCTTGGAATAATGAAACATAGTTTTGAATATGATAAAAGATGCGTTTGAGGAAACAAATAAAGATTCACGCATTTTGAGATAACACAAAGCTGGAATTGAGTGAAACTGAGGCAGTTAGTCTGGGCAATCAAGAGGTTGATAAGAGCATACAACAGAGAAATATCTCCCAAACAGTTTGAGGTAGATCAGTCAGTGTTAAAATGCATTCTTCCACGTCAAGCTGAGGCTAAAGGCAAGTTTTCCCCAAACTGGCAGGGGTCGTTCATTGTAACGGGAGTGTTGCCCCAATGGTGATTTTTGTTTAATAGATATAGAAGACAAATGTGTAGAAATAACTGTCAATTCTGATGCAGTCAAGAGATATTGTTATGATTTCTTTGGTTCATCTTCAAATTGTGTTGTTTGTATTTGGCATGTTTCGAAGATTGGAATGACAAAGACATTTTATTCTGATATCTAAACACTTTTATCCTTTGTTACCCATTTTGAGCCTTATTTATTTACTTTCATACCCTCTTTCGTAATCAGAAGTAAAGTTTAGGAACATAAATAAAAGGAAAAAAAGGAAGATAAAAATGGAAAAAAGAAGAAGGTAAAGCAAAAGAAAGATAAAAGAGAGAAAAAGAAAGCAAAAGAAAAAGTAACAAAAACAAAGCAACGCTTATGTCATGAACTACGTTCGACTTGATTCCTTTAAAGGATACGTAGGCAGCCTCACGGTTCGGTCCTATCAAAATAAAAAATTCAAAAGTCCCCAGGCAAAGAAACTGGGGCAGAAGTTGCGGTTTTGTAAGAGATCTGATTCCAAAAGTTGTAATTTTGAACCCATTCCAGTTGTTTTGAGCCTTTATGATATCCTTTTTGTCTAACCCTATCCAAAAGCCCACATCATGGTCCAAAGAAAGACCTTTCAATCAATTTTTGAGGGATGCCAAGTCAGGCGAGATAGATGTATGAGTCATCAAGGGCAACACTCTGTTCTACACAAGGAAAATGAATAAATGAGAGAGTTTTATTAGTGAAAACCCTCACAGGCACCGTTATGCGATGGAAAAATGAGAGAAATTAAAATGAGAGAGTCTTATTGGTAAAAACCCTCACGGGCATCGTAAGGCGACGGTGAGTTAAGAGATGAACAAATGAGAGAGGTTTGTTGGTGAAAACCCTTTAGGGCGCCGCAAGCCGAACAAGGTTGGTGACTTTGCAGAGAGATTGGATTATGGAAACCCCGGGGCATAAAGTATTAAAACTGAAAGGTGATTGGCTGAACGAACTAGGTTGATTAATCCTAAATGCATGTCATGATCATTGGTGCCAGCTGCCTCACTCAGATAAGTCTCTTTTCCTTTTCTTCCTCAAACAGTCATCCTGTTTCGAATTTTCTTCTTTATTCCTAACTCTTGAAGTCATAGCATTTCATTTTCTTTTGGTTCTACTTCTCTAAGGCTTTTCCAATGTTAGCCTTGTTAAGTAAGTAAGAAAGGATTTCAAAGCTTATTACCAACTTCCAAATTGCACAAAGCAAAGTGCGGCCAAAGCATTGCAGAAATAGCATGATGCAAAATGGAAAATAAGGTATTAGTAGAAGTTCAAGTGGTCGAGTGGTTTCGTAAATTTTGGGGGAAAATACAGAGGTTCAAATTAGAAGGATAGAAATGTAAAATAGCAGGTTGAGTGTGGGGCACTCGGGTCATTCGGGGTCTATGGTTGAGGTTCAATCAAAGGGTCAAACAATTCTTTGCCAGTCCAAGGCAGCTAATCAGAACAAAGCATGGCAGTGGAAAGGCCACCTTCAGCAAGAATTCCGCAAACTAACCACCACATTTTCAAACTGATAAGATTTTCTTTGATTGAAACAGGGGCAAGAAATTTCATCTGTTCCGAAGGAACCCTCCGTAAGGAAAAGATGTGCCAGACAGGTTCAGCCATAAATTTTCAGGACCCTCCTAGATAATGAGACCTAGTTAAATTCCAAGACCTTTATAGATAACTAGATTTGGCATAAGTTCTTACTTTAGGAAATATAATTTAGCTTTTAAATTCTTAGAGCTCTTTTGGGAGACATGATTCGATTAACACTCACAGATGTGCTCAAATACCAAACTGGGGCAGAAAAGTTTCTTTTGTTTTGTATGTTTTGGCAAGCGCCCACCTGGATAACAAGGGAATACTGTTCAAGTTTTTGGCAAACAGACGCCCACCTGGAGAACAATGGAATACAATTCAATTTTTTGGCAATCAGTCGCCCACCTGGAGAACAAGGGAATACAATTCAAGTTTTTGGCAATCAGGCGCCCACCTGGAGAACAAGAGAATACAGTTCAAGTTTTGGCAATCAGGCGCACACCTGGAAAACAAGGGAATACAGTTCAAGTTTCGGCAATCAGGCGCCTACCTGGAGAACAATGGAATACAATTCAAGTTTCGGCAATCAGGTGCCCACCCGGAGAACAAGGGAATACAGTTCAAATTTTGGCAATCATGCGCCCACCTGGAGAAAAAGGAAATACAATTCAAGTTTTGACAATCAGGCGCCCACCTGGAGAACAAGGGAATACAGTTCAAGTTTCGGCAATCAGGCGCACACCCGGAGAACAAGGGAATACAGCACAAGTTTCGGCAATTAGTCGCCCACCTGGAGAACAAGGGAATACAGTTCAATTCGGTAATCAGGCGCCCACCCGGAGAACAAGGGAATACAGTTCAAGTTTCGGCAATCAGGCGCCCACCTAGAGAACAAGGGAATACAGTTCAAGTTTCGGCAATCAAGCGCCCACTTGAAGAACAAGGGAATACAGTTCAAGTTTTGGCAATCAGGCGCCCACCTAGAGAACAAGGGAATACAGTTCAAGTTTTGGCAATCAGGCGCTCACCTGGAGAACAAGGGAATACAGTTCAAGTTTCGGCAATCAGGCGCCCACCTGGAAAACAAGGGAATGCAGTTCAAATTTTGACAGCAGGCGCCTACCTGGAAAACAAGGGAATTCATTTCAGAATTCAATTCAAGTCAGCAATAAAATAAGCTCGCCTCGAGAGTGCGAGTCAACAGTTCAAGATGCACAACAGAACTGCAGAAGCGGCAAGATCAAGTTTGAAGATGTGTAGATAGGATTCTTGTAATTCATAGATCATAGTTTAGCCTAGCTTCTTTTTATTTTGTCTCGGTGTAATAAGGAGTTCAGTAAGCAGTAGCAACACTGAAATCACAGCTTCCCGGTAGTACCAGCTACCAAAACATTTCGAACTACACTGACCTGATTCCTTTATAGCCAAGGATATGTACGCAACCTCGGAAGAAAGGTTCGATCAGATCTTTCAAAAATGCTTCCCACGGAGTATCCAAACGGGAAAAAATAGCTCGTATTCGCTTACTTTATCTTTGCCCGAAAACTCTTCGTATTTCTGAGCAAAGAGGGGCAGTTGTGAGCACGTGATTTTTGCCCTATGTGAAATACTCCTACAAATTAAAGAAATAGATTTTTTCCAATTGTTTGAAATTTTATAGGATTTTTGTATGATTGTTTGTTAATTGTTTGCATTTCTGAGTATGTTTACTTTTATTAAAATCATGAAAAAAACCCAAAAATACCATGCATTACATTTAGATTTTGTGTTCACATTTTAGGATTAATTAATCAATTAATTACTTTATTAAAAATGAAAATCATAATAATGGCTCATTTTTACATTCTTAGCTTTTAATTTTGGATTATTTATTTTCTCTTTTAATTTAGGATCAATTAATTTTTATAAAAATTATAGTTAGATAATTAGCTTAATTTTATAATTTAAATTAATTTAAGAATTTAATTTATGTCTTTAATTAATTAAAAAAAGAAAAAGGAAATGTAAAAAGGCTAGTTTTAAATTCAATTGGGCCAAAATTGATGTTAAGCCCACTCTCCCAATCCCTCACCCGGTCCGACCCAGCTCAATCCCTTCAAACTAGCCCGCCCCCACTAAAGCCAAACGACCCCGTTTCTGCCTCATTGAATCCCAAACATTGATCTCGTGTGATCCAACAGCTGGGAACTGGCTCTCATTTCATATATTAATATCCGAAACAGAGCTCCCCCATTCGAATCCCTTCATTTAGTCCCTTACCCTAACCCGGATAGAAACCCTAGCCGCTAGAGAACCCTCAACCTCCACCGGCCGATGGAGCAACCCCAATCGACCTTAACTTCACATCCCATAATCACCACGCCCCCTAAACTCAAATTCCCCAACAATCTCCCCAAATAATCCCTTGAACTCGCTGAATCCCGGATCTAAAATTTAACCTAGTTCCTGCAGTTTGGGGATTTTTGTTGATTTTTTGCTCGTTTGGCTGGAAGTTTGCCTAAATAGATTACTCTTGACCAAAATAGTCGTTTGAGTTAGCTACAAGCCCTTTCGAAGCATCCTGAGCCTGGCGAGTCTTCCGCTTTTGCTTTTTCTTGGTCGTCTTGATGATTAAATCGGTACTTTTTGGCCTTTAATCATTTGTTTGTTTCTGTTTTTGTTTTATTTTTTCTTCTCTGTTCTTTTCTTTCTTTATTTCTCTTCTTCTCAGTTAGTTTTTGTTTGCATGATAGGTTAGAACACTTAACAAGCAGGTTGTACTCAATTTTTAAACTAGTTAATTGTTAAATCATTGTTAGCATGCTTAGGTTCGTGGTCAATTACAACTTGCCTTGATCAATTTGACTTTTTGTTTGGTTAATGAACCAGCTAGTCTTAAGGTCTTAATATTAGCTTAATTTCATTAATTCATTTGATTTTAATGTTTAGGTCTCTTTTGGGCTTTTGGTTATTTCTGGTTTGGGCAGAAGAAACCCATTGTCTGGGTTTGAGTCTTGGGTCAGTTTGGGGAGTAAATACAGGGGTGTCAGGGGCTATTTTGGGTATCTTAGGTCTAGAGAATATTTTCTGTTATGAGAGAAGCTTCTAAAGGATAAGAGGAGGCTTGCATGGGGTAAAAATGGGTAATTAAGGGGCTAGGGGGTAAAATAACTAAGTAAAAAAGGGGTAAAAAGGAGAATTAAGGAAGGAGGAAAATCTGGTGATGCTGCCCTAAGGTCTTTCTATAAGAGGATCATTTTCCTCATTCTGGGGGGGGGGGGGGGTTTNAGTAAAAAAGGGGTAAAAAGGAGAATTAAGGAATGAGGAAAATCTGGTGATGCTGCCCTAAGGTCTTTCTATAAGAAGATCATTTTTTTCATTCTAGGGAGATTTTAGGACACCTAAAAAGAGGAACGGCTGAGATATTGATAAGCTGCAGAATCCTTTCTTCAAAAAGTTTAATTCTCATGATGAACAGACACAATTCATAGAAAGAAAGGCATCAATTTCTTCTTTTTTGGTTTCATTCGAAGGGTGAAGTACTGTTCTTT